CCAATAGATAAGTCTCCACTGAAAAAACTAGGACTAGGACTGAATGGTTTGGGGAAAATCTCTAACAGTGATTATTTTGACCAATATTGCGATTGCAATTTCAATGTGATTATTTTCTACAAATTTAGCTCCCCACCTTTTTCCCCCTCAAGAAGACCAGCACTTCATTTTTTCAGGCTTGACACTTCAAAGCTGAATGTAGTGTGTCAGACAGCCAGTTTGTGAGTTCTGTATTTTTAGGTTACATTTGTCTTGTTAAGATAATATTCAAGAGTAAAACTAAAACTGTGGTGCTTGCGATTTAAAAACTGCAATCTCTAAAGTGGCGATTTCAATAAACAAAATCCAAAAATCACTCAGCCCTATCTAGGACTAAAGATTACTTGAATCTAGCAAACCAAAAGTCACTTAGTATTGGCCTAATAAGAGTATGCAAGACTTAACAGTGAAGAATTCCCAGTGACAAAGGAATTTAGCCCAAAACTAATTTAGCCCAAAGTTTAATCTGTGTCCAGCAAACCATATTTGAACATAAAGGGATCAGACGTACGTCCATATGCATAGTTCTTATGCATATATGCTCTGCATATATGCAGAGCTAATTAGCAGTTTCACAATTGTTTGGGAGCCTCAAAAAGATAAAGCAGAGCAGCACTGCTGATAATAAAGAGATCAACACGCTTGCTCACAAAGCCTATAAATAGAGTTGTGGATAGTGCTTAACGCCTATACACCTATTGGAGCCACATGGATCTCCTACGTTTGTATGTGTGCGGGTGTAAAAAAAATAAATAAATGAAGGATACTCTGGTGTCAGACCTTCTTATTGACTGAACAAAGAGAGAGAGGGAGCACAGTAGGCTGAAAGAGGTATGGGAGTATAATCTGTGTGTCCTGCCTGTGCAAAACCAAGAGGGGAAAGCCGAGCAAGTGACAGAAAGAAGGGGAGGGCAGGAAAGAATTGACACCTTCCTGCCACTACTTTTCACTTTCTCACCAATGCCAGACACACATCTCCGTCTTCCAATCTTCAGTCCACTCTCTTCCCCATCTATTCTTTTTCCATTGCTTCCCCAGCAACCCAGTAAAAAATGATGGCAGCTCCACTGGTGGCAGAACAGCACTCAGAGAGCAAGAGCCATGATGCGTGGTGTAATTGATAAGGTGGAGCCCATGTGTTCCTCAGCCTGTGCTGAAGAGAACTGGCAGATGTATATTTAACCTGTATGCTCGGGTTTCTGCTAGCATATTGCCAAACAGATGTGGGCTGCATGTTACGGTCAACACATATGGCTGTGCGTAATACAGAACTAAACTAATACACCGGATGGATCAATTACACGTCTGTTGTCCGTAAAAGAATTTATGATGCCTTTAAAAAGTTTAAAAATATCTGATTCTGCTGAAAAAAATGAATCAGTCAACAGCAGCTTGGAGTAAAAGGTTTTAAACAAACATAAATGCTAGAAATGCTTTAACCAGCGTTAATTTAGAAATTACTAGAATTAGAATTATTACAGTAGAATTAAACAATCAAACTAGAATTTAAATGAAACAGTGCTTATCTCAGAGTTCATTGTTTTAGTAGGAAATACCAGCTGGGAACAAAGAAAAAAAAGTGATCTGCCAACTGAATAGTTTTAAAATAATAAAAATAGTCATCCGCAACTCAATGATATATTAAAGTAAAAGTTGGAAAGTAGAATGCAAGTTAACACATGTACTCACTTTGGGTCAGTGTGATAGCATGCAAACCTGGCAGCAACAGGCACCACGAGAAATGCCTTGTAATGACCGGAGAACTGTTCCAACCATGCCCAACAGGGCACCGCCACAGGTCCTAACCGTCTCCCAGCTACCATTTGTGCTTTCAGCAAGCTCTCAACATGTCACCACTAAGAATAGAATGGAAAATCGATTAAAGTTTAAGCTATAGGAGATAAACACTTTGAGCGCCATTATTCAAAAGGAGTTATTTTTGGCAGATAAGACCTTTCATATTGTTATAGTTCAGGCTGCTCATCTCAGCATGAGCCCTATGCACAGCAAATCAAGTACCTGAGCACAATGCAACAGAAAAAAGAGTGAGAGAGAGACAGTGAAACAGACAGAGAGAGAGAGACTGACCAGGGTCTGTTGATATCTCAGAGCTTTCCTTTGCGACGTATCAGCAGCCATCGACAAGCTCGCACTGAGCCAAAAATAAACGTACACACCGTCCTGCTCCTGTATTGCAGTGCCTGAAACACACACACACACACACACACACACACACACACACACACACACACAAATGGCAATACATACACAGTTGTTTGCCTGCGATACAGTACCTACAACACACAAACACACAGAAATAACTATGCATTTCACACTCATGTTACGGAGCTTGCACCACACAAATCGTTTAAGCAAAATGACACAAACGCACTGTCAGAAAGATATATGAAATACATTATCTTTTACTTGCTTCCATAAAACAAAATAATGAATTTGAGGGACAATGTCACAGAACGTACGTTCACGCACTCTTGTAATCAGGGCAATAACCTCAAATAAATCAGCTCACAATGCTGGGTACCTCAGCCCTGGAGACATTTGGACTACAAGTCCAGTCTTTTGGAAGCAGATCAAAGGCCTAGACACCAAGGAAACTAATAAAAGGTGGAAGCAACCATAGCAACATGGTTAACCACAGGCAGATGAGAGGTAAGTGACAGAAATTCAGTTTAGGAGAGAAAGAAAAAGACAGGTGCTGCAGAGAAACTGAAAGACAGTAAAAGAAAGCAAAAACAGGCCAGATGAGCAAAGTCAAGTCAAAGTTAACTTTATTGTCTCTCCTTCTCACCACAGATGTGTTGAGTGAGGAACAAAATATATTTACTCCAGGACACAGTGCTACATTTAACACAGGAGAGCAAAGCCACATGTGCATTTCCACAATAAAGCAGCAACAAAGAAAGAAAAGAGCTGAAGAGACAGCCGAGTGAGTCAGTAACACAGACATGAGTACAAAATCAGACACAGCGAGCGCCTGTGTGTGCCTGTGTGTGTTAAAAGTGATGATGCAGGCCCGCATTTCTTTTCTTAGCCCCGGCGTGTGGCTAATAGCTGCCCTCGTCTGCCTTTAATGCCAGCTTCCCCCGGCAGTACGCCGGCCCACCGGCCTGCCCATCCGTCCGTCCGCCCGGCTGCCCGTGCCCCTCCACCCCTCCCGCCTGGATTTCCGTTTTGCTTCCTCCCTTTTCCCTCCAGGCCCACACGTTTCTGAGAGGATACTGCCTACCCATACGGCGCCCCTGTAACATGATAAGGCTGTGTGTGCATGTCTGTGTGTGGGGGGGAAGTCTCAGCAACTTTCACCTCATCAGAGACGAGGAAGCTGATACACACTGCTCTCAAATCAAAGCACACACACACTTTAAATACAACTCGCATCTTAAAACCGATCCAGTCACAACTCTGATTAACGATGCGGTAAACAGGTGACCCCCCCCGCCGCCAAAATCTGCTTCACTACAATGTCACTGAACAAACCCCCACATGAAACACTTTACAATAAGACTACTCTTATAAAGGGTTCATTACTCCTTTAGGTGATAAACACTAAAGGAGTGCACTAATAACATAAAGCAGCAAAAATGTTGCTTGCCAAATAGTGAGCCTACTTTCATCTATAACGTTAAGCTCAATCAGTCAGTTTTAAACTTGTCATTTCTTTCAGTTATTCACATATTCATCAGATCTCAACAGTTCACTTTTGCCCTTTTTATTTGTGTTAAAACTGCTTATTAATTATTTTTAAGGTGTTTCTGACCTAATTAATAACCAATGATAACCAAATGTTAGCTTTATACTTTTATAAAGGTAGTCTTATTATAAAGTTGTACCAGAAAAAAAAGTCAAGCAAAATATTTAGGCCTAAGAGTTTGAACGTATATCAGTAAACAGTAGTTTTAAAAAATATTTTCTCTTACTAAATTGAAAAAAGAAGAGTGAAAATGTGGTCATATGCAAAAGTCTGGGCACCCCTGGCCAATCACGTTTTGCTGGTGTTCTTAGTGAAAATCTGTACTTTATAGAGTACTATATTGTGCTATATAGAGGACACAATTCTACACATTTTAATTCTCAATCTGAACTTAACATTTTAGAGAAAAAAAATAAAACATAAAAAGTGTTTTTTTTAGTTCAGCAAATAAACAGGAATAGCGCACTAAAATTTAGAAGAAAATGCCATTTAAGTTTGTTCGCTGTAGAGGACGAATCAACTAATTTTCATCTGTAAAAAATCAACAAAACATGTAATTTGATCAGGGGAGCTCAAACCTTTCTATACAGCTGTTTATATTTCACCCACACTTTACATGAAGCGACACTTAAGTTTAAATAATACCAGTGAGTTCCTGGATGTCATGAAGAAACCTTGTGAACTAATATGCTAGATGGAATGTAGTTGTGGCTCTACTGGAAATGGAAATTGGAAGAACTGCTGAGGGCTGACTGAATACTGAGTGCATCACAATCTAGTCATTAACGCACCCATAACACTACAGTCATGAAAACATTATGGCAGGCAAATGTAATGTGATCGGGGTGAATCACCATTGCAGCCATCATTCCATCAGCCACAGCAGGACAGAGAAACCTGAGCAAGGCCACTGAAGGAACCGGAAAAATGCATCACCATGAAAACCAGGCAGCCACAGCACACAGAGGAACAGGACAGAGCAGCTGGGGAAAAGAGAGAGCGGGGGAAAGAAGAGCACATGCTAAAGCGTCAACAATACAGCACTTAAATAACAGCAGAACAGCTGTAATAACTAAAAATGATTCAAAAAGATCTACAAAAGGATACTTCAACCTACATTACCATGTAGTGACCAGCAAAAGGGCAGGAAAACACTAGAACAGCCAACTGCCCCAACCATGCAAGCTACTACACCTTGCTAGCAACAAGCCAAGCAAACAGAAACACAACACCCCTCTCGCCCCAACACACACTCTAAATGTGTTAATTAATGTCCAAGAATACACAAACAATGGGACAACCAGACAAAAGCACACCAGCAGACATGCATGCATGCATGCAGACACACACCAACAAGTGTGCGCACACACACACACACACACACACACACACACACACGGCCAATACACACAAAGCAATATTACCGTTGCAAATTTCTTTTTGAACAATATACTTTTTATTCTAAGACAGTTTTTTTGTTTTTACAAAAATATCACAAATGACTGAATAACAATATTTTCCACAGCACCCTCCAGAGCTTGTTAGAACAGATAATGGCAGTGAATAGAGTCAATCATTTAAAAATTAACTGCAAGTCATACTAATGAGTAGGTCATTCTTCCCCAATGGGATGGGTGGAAACCACACTGCATATTAAATATAATGAACATTTCACTCAGAGCACACTGGTGTTGCACTTCTCGACAAAGTTCATCAGGCACAAAGGGGAGTTTCGGCCACATACAGTCGTATGCAAAAGTGTGGGCGCTCCTGGTCAAACGACATTTTGTTGAGTGAAAATAAGTAAAAAACATCCTCTACAGTGAACAGCCCTTGGCACATTTTAGTGCACAATTATTGTTTATTTGCTGAATTAAACATATTGGGGGAAAAAAGTAACAAATTGTGCAAAAGTTTTGGCAAGTTTTATGTTTTATTTTTTCCATTATGTTAAATGCAGCATTTAAATAGAAATTGTGCACTAAAATTTGCAGAAATGCCATATTTAAATTTATTCCCTGCAGAGGATGCAGAGGAATTAATAAAACATGTCATTTGATCAGGGTGTTCAAATATTTGCATACGACTGTATGTGGCTGGTTGTGATCAGACTGTAGGATCATATACAGGAAAAACTTCAGAACAGAATCTAAAACACTATCAGGTGCTATAGGGTTTCAAAAAAAAAAGAAAGAAAAAAAAACAAACAAACAATGGCAGTAAAATTCACATAAGAAAAGAAAACTGGCGCAGGGGTGGTGGTTATAACTCTGAATATAATCATTCACAAAGGAAGCAAATCAATACTGCTGTGACCCCGTCAACACTTACGGGAAACCCTACTGAACTATTTCATTGATTCATAAGTACAACAGTCCTTCCTTTATCTTAAATCTTTAAATCTTAGCATTTATAAATATATGTTGATATAAAAATGTCAAAGAAAATTTCTTTCCAAACTTTCAATTATGATTTACATAATATATGATACCATACTACAGATGGCAAACTGTAGTATTTTACTCATTACCCAGCACCCACCTACTCAAATGGTCAAAATACAGCTGCATATATTCAGCATGAAAAGAATAACAGGTTGGCACAACAGTCTGAATTTAACACAGTATGGAACATGTTTGTACAAAATACTTGCTGTGATGAAGTCAGCTACTGCTGTTAAATTATTAAAAAATAAAAAAAATAAAAAATAACAAAGCCAAATAAAAAAAACATACGCCCCATATAAAAGTCATGCGGTAGTAATATAATTTGGCATCAAAAATATACAGCAGCTGTCTCTAATAATGAAAGATGATGTGTTAACGATGATTAATGTGAACTGAAATGCTGAAGGTGTTGGAGAATGACAGAGACCTGTGTCAAAGGTTGTGACCCCTGCAGTACTACACAAGCCTCACACAGACATGTTCTATATTCTGATTTGGTCAAATTCACGAGGCATACCAAAGAAACATTGTGCACCCCAATCTCACTGCATTAAACTGAACCTAAGGAAACCTGCAGTTTGAGGCCATCATACTGACCATAAAACCGACTCAGAATTTTCAAAACACCTTTTAACCGTCAGACACATTACAGATAAGACAGGGGACAGAGAGGCATTCACTTAAAGCATGTGTTCAAATCTTACAGAATAAATCCTTGAATCCAGTAGGACAAATGAGTGAGTGAGCAAAGCTGACCTCTTTTCTTATGGCTCTACTGCCTCCTAGAGGAGAAATAAGGTGGGGAAGTCATCTACAATCATAGCCATACAATGGAGAAGATCAGTTGAGCAGCAAGAAATAAAGAGCAAAACTGATTTACATGTGGAATGTAACCATAAAAGCAATGCTTTACAAAAGGCAAATAAGTTAACTGAAAAGATATTTAGAGCACAAGAATGTTACACTGAAAAACAATATTTTGGCAAGTGAGTTTTCCTATTGCTGACATCATTACACATTTAACCACTTCCAAACAAATTTCCCAAAACTGTTTGAACATTTACTAATCCTAAGGGTTAAGAATCAGCCTAAAAGAACAGCAATATTAGTCTGTGTTCTAATACTAAGGCAGATGTTTGTGCAGTCAGTACTGCAGACACTGCAATGTGCACCATTAAAAATTGTGGAGTACAGAACACTGCAGGGTGGTATAGCCAAAAGGCATGCAATGTGTGAGTATTTACTGTGAACACAGTATGGGAGAAAGGGATCTGATGGAGTGAGGGTGTGGGGGGAGGGGTCCACCCTCACCATGCTATAATTTCTGCATAAATGCGGCTTTGAGAGAAAAAGCAAGAAAAAAAGTAAAAGTAAAAAAAACTGTACATAGTTGTATTCCTACAAAACTGACAAAAATAGATCTCTGAAAAAAGGCTAGCATTACAATTTGTAAAATTGTGATTGGTATATTCAAAGAAACACCCAGATAAAAAGACAAATGGAATTTAAAAACATCTGTGTTATTTCATAGACTGAAATATTGGTGTAACAAGCATATGTAATATATGGATATATAAAAACAAATTATATTCACAAATGCATGTTTTTGGACATGTACAAAACGACTCATCTGTTTCAGAACCATATGTATAAATGTGTGTAAAAACACACAGTGCTTGGTGCTTGTGGTTGAATACAAAATAAAAGTGAAAAACAAAACGGAATGTCTGTAATTCTATAATTGGCCCAATTATTAGCAAAACCCAGAGCAGATATGTACAGCACAGAATTGTGTGAATGTTTCAAGGAATGAGTTGAAAAGAAAAGCTTACAAATTTGAAATATTTGTGTATTTAAGGCCTTTTACAGCGGTGTGTGACTGTCTAGTTGTTTGGGCAGTACTTGGGAAAGAGGTAGAGGTCTTTGCAGAGAGAGCTGGTAAATTCAGACATCTCTTTACAGCGATGATGAGCCGAACCTGGTGCGTAGCCTTCTCTCTCCTTAATTCGTGCATTCACCTATCAGGAAAAATATTAGCAAGCAGTGTTACACGTTGCATGAATAAACACATCTATTACTTGCATTTGGTCTTAAGCAGAGGTGCGAAACTCCAGTCCTATAGCGTGGGATTTCTGCACTGTTTGGTTGTGTACAAGCACGTCTGACTCAACTCATCGGTTAACTATTAGGTTTGCTTATTGTGCCACAGCAGAGAAATGGCCAAACTGTGCAGAATTCCGCCGCTCACTTCCCCATCCCTGGTCTAAAAGCTCTGCGTGTTTATTACCTGCACCAGTATATCCGATAAGTGCGTGTCTCTGGCTCTCTGTCTCACAGCTGCGTTGAGTTCCTGAATGAACCAGGAGCCTTTCTTTGTGTTCCTCATTGCAGCAGTGCCTAAGTTCACACACACACAAACACATTTTCAGCTCATTTTTAAAAACACCCTTATTTTCATTTGTCTGGACAATAATTAGGCCATGTTTACACTTGAAATTCAAATGCTTCCAATATGTGGATGTTGCCCAAATACACATTTGAAAGACAACAACGATTACGAACAAAAGTTCATGAGGACAGTATACAGATCTACAGTCACAACCGCCTGCCATTTTAACCCAAAGTTTATTTTCAATCATGTTTCAGTAACGGGTGCTGAGCAAAACATACATACAGTCATATGCAAAATCAAATTACACGTTTGTTGATTTTCTAGATGAGCACATCCTCTACACAGAGAACACACTTGAAGATGGCAGTTTTCTGAAAACTTTAGTGCACCATTTATATTTATTTGTTGAGTTGTAATTTTATTATTTTCAAATATGTTAAATTCAGGAAATAAATAAACAGTAATTGTGCAATGAAATGTGCATAACTGTGTCTTGTAGAGTATGTGTACTTATACCTAATCAGCCATTGTTAAATTATTATGGCTCCGGCTTTTGATAAAGGACTAGAGGATGACTGTGCAGCAACAGATGAGCTACTGTCTCTGACTTTACATCTGAAAGGTGGACGAACAAGGTAGGTGTGTGCAGTAGAGTGGACAGTAAGTGGACGCTGTGCTTAAAAACTCCAGCAGCACTGCTGTGTCTGATCCACTCATACCAGCACAACACACACAACCACGCTACCACCACGTCAGCGCCTAGAAAGATGCACCACCCAAATAATACCTGCTCTATGGTGGTCCTGACCATCAAAGAACAGGGTGAAAGGGGGCAAACAAAGTATACAGAGAAACAGATGGACTACAGCCTGTAATCGTAGGACTACAAAGAGCACCTAGATGGTAAGTGGAGCTGCCAAAATGGACAATGAGAGTAAAAACAAGGATATGGTTTGAATGTTACCGCCAATAACTGTATTGTCAATTTGAAAAATCAACAAAACAAATGCAAGCAGTGCAACTTCTGCATGTGACTGTAACTCCCTGTCTTTTCTTTCTCTGTACTTTAAAATGCTGAAACATTGTGCAATATTTTCCACATAGCATTGAACACGGTACAGCCCACATAGGCTCTACCTACTGTGCTCCAGCACAACAGCAGCAATTTTAAAATGTAAACTTTGAGCAGAAAAATGAGATCAATATCTGTAGCTATATTTGAAAAGGCCAAGTGTAAATGTGCTAGGTCCTAATTCAGTGTTGATCATCAGGTCCAGGTCATAGTGATCAGATGCAAATGCAAAGTGTAAACAGGGTCCTATTCACAAAACAGGAAGCTATTCTCCATTACTTCTTTTCATATAAGGGATAGTGATCCCGTTAAACATTTCTACAGATCCACATACATTACACTCCCACAAAGACATAAGTGGATACACACTGAAACCTTTGAGAGTGGCAAATCCGCAGATCATGTCGGATCTCTGGGGTAGTTTCACTCGAAGTCTCTCGCTGTCTCTCTGCTCCCTTGTTTCGTTCTGTCTTGCGCTCTTCTCTTCTCTCCCTGCATCCCTCTGTTCACAGTCTGTAGGCTCTGCACGATCATCACCATCTAACTGGTCTACACCACTGTCCATCTCCTCTGAAACAGGAAGCAACAAGGGCTAGAGTTCTGCATGTTATGCCTGAGACCAGCTTTTTGATAGCTAGTTTCATGTTCACTTAAAACATTTGTCAGAATATTACAAATGATTTATGTGAATTGTATGTGCAGTATGTGCACCAACCTCCTCTACAGGCCTGGATGAAGAACATTTTTGGCTTGTTCTGAAGCAGGGGGCAGCGAGCGTTATCAAACCTCTCAAACACCCAGTCCAACTGCAAAACAGAGAAAGAGACAGAGGAAAACACACTGAGATTGTCTATGTATGGCAAATAAACAAATTACTGTCAATCATTTCTCATTCTGAGTATTCCAACCAGCATCTTAGCAGCTATCTCTAGACAAATCAGGATATCTCTGGCTTATTTACAGATGTCAATCGCTAGTCTAGAGACAATAACCCTTATATTCACGTCTCCCAAGGTGTATACACTGATCAACCGTATCATTCAAACCACATCCTTGTTTCTACATTTTTTGTCCATTTTATCAGCCCCACTTACCATACAGATGCGCTTGCAGTTGTGCAATTACAGACTGTAGTCCATCTGTTTCTCTGCAGTGTCAGTGTCACTGCAGAGCTGAGAATGATCCACCACACAGATAATACCTGCTCTGGGGGGTCCTGACCACTGAAGAACATGGTGAAAGGGGGCTAACAAAGTATGTGGAGAAACAGATGAACTACCATATGTAACTGCAGTGCTCCTATATGGTAAGTGGAGCTGACAAAATGAACAATAAGTGTAAAAACAAGGAGTTGGTTTTAAATGTTATAGCTAATTGGTGTAAATTTACTGATGTAGTACATTTCTAAGGTTTTGATTTTCTTTACTGTCTGATATTCTTTTGATAATCTAATTAATCACTTCTTACAACCACAGAATTTTACACTTTTTGACACACAATTAAAAACACACACAAATGGCGTGGCTCATTTCTCATGCATAGTGATATCTGTTTTGCTTTAGCTGTGTACTGAGTGTAACAGAATTAATGATGTTAATGTTTACGAGTAAAATTGTATTTTTGCAGATTTTCCATATCCCAGCCTTATACAGATGTATACCTTCAGAACTGCGGACAAAATGCATCTTTTATGGGGCAAACAGCATAGGCTGACACCGATGCACATTTGGTACTTGAATACAGATACCAGAGTGGGTACTTTTTCAGATATGTACACGCTCCTCAATGCTGAAGTGACGACAGAAGGCTAACCTCCAGCAGCTGTCCGTCAGTTCCGTAGATGGAGCCCTCAACTCCATGAGACAGTAAACATACAGCACAGCAGTCATACACTGCGTGCTCCGGCCGCCGTGCAAACTGCTCTATACGGTCCCGCATCGCCTGAGAGAGAGAGAGAAAAAGATACATTTTACAAACTGAGTATTTAGTAATATTTAGTAATACTGAACAATTCAATTTTCACCACCTTCAGGCACAATTCTAAGGTACCTGCTAATCACAAATATAAGACAAACATAACACCATGCATATTTTTAGCTGTAAATTTCCTGGCTTTTTGCTGAGCCCAAGGGCTGGGAGTGGCACCTGGACAGTGAGGTCTTTGTGTAGGCTGACTGTGAAGTCCAGCTCCGTAAAGAGTCTCCTCAGCACCTCTTCATCCACTTCTCCTCCTCTCCGTATGTCCAGTTCCGATAATTCTGGCTCAAAGCGCACGTTACTCACCACTAGGGCAAGGCCCCGTGGACTAGAGCTCATTGAGTAGGCCTGAGGAATCAAAGGCAGGGGGGGACTGTTTCTGAGGTGGCAAGAGACTGAATGTTGTCTGAAAATATGTTACTACTGAGACATTGCAATAAGCTGAATGAGTATGTGTGTGTGTACCTGTGCACTGTGGGACATGTAGAACTCAGGAGTGCAGGGTAGCACAGCAGTGGTCACAGGACTGTCAGCATCCAAACACATCTCCATAGACTCTGAAAACCCAAACAAATCATGACTTTATTCACAATGTAAGCACAAGCATGAATCACTTTTTTCAGACATTTTGAAATCCTTATCAAAACTGCACATTGTCTACTAATAAACCCTGCGTATTCATTGGTCATCTGTTAAATTCCATCACCAGCACACCTGATTTAATTTAATAAAGTATAAATTAGCCAAACCAGGTAGTGGATAATAGCTGCAAATAATCCAGGGTTTTCTTCAGGAGAGGACTGGAAATGATTAAATGAAAACACTGTTTCATTCAAAATCAATACTTTTGGATTAATGTTTTTTGTACTTATTCCAATAATACTTACTGCCCAAAAATAACATTTTAAATATAATTTTCTCAAGTGACTAAACTTTTGCAAAGCACCGTATGTGTTACCTGGTTAGCAAGAGCACATGGTTAAGCACAGCAGCTGAGAACAGATGCTTAGTGTTCTGTTCATCTTTTCCTTATTTTTATTATACTTTATGTTGCATACAGAACAATGAAGACTTTAAGAAATGAAAACAATTGATCTACTTTTTTTTTACGTTAAAGGGCCCACCGGTTTGACTGTAAATATTAAAAATAGCCCAATGATCCTAAAGACAATGTCTTTATTATCATTAACCAAATACACATTTGAAAATAAATTACTGTGCAAAAGTCTTGAGCATCTGAGAAAATGCATAAAGAACTTAATCTGGGCAGTTAGTGTTTATTTATTATATAAAAAATATATAAGTATCCAAAATATTCTTAATGGCCTTTAATAGTCAAAGATATTTAACTATTTTTAATATTTTAATTTTTAACTTTTTGTTGTATTTTAATGTCTTTATTTGTATTTAATCTGATGTTTACTGGCAAAAACGCACTGGCAAGATAACCAGTTTAAACAATTTTCTTGGCCGCCTATGACTTTTGCACAGTATTATACATCATTAAACCTTAATTCAAATACAATTAAAAGCCAGAAAACCTAAACTGCACTGTTTGATCAGGCCTGTGTGGGCAATTTAATCAGTATATTGACTGACAGTGGCCTATCCACAACAAAATAAACAATTTCACTACATCAAAAAAGAGGTGACAGCTCCTTTAAAGACTAGAAAACAGACTCTCATGATCTATCGCACACACACACTCACCATGGGTGCGAGCTCTTTTGGCAGGCACTGCACACTCCTGCGTTGGGAGTGGAAGAGTGGGGTCTGGAAATCTCTGTAAACACAAAAAGAAACAAGTAAAACAAAGTCACTGTATAGTGTAGGTCAGTTCAACTGAACACACAACATTCATGGGCTGATTGTTTATTAACGGTGTTAGTCTTCTCACATGCTTTTTGATTGCTAAAGAAATGTAAGAGTTGAGGAACCTCTTTTTGTGACTCATTTGAGATCACCAGGAAGACTGCCTGCAGTCTGGGTGTGGCACTGTAAGTATGGTAGCAAGTGTTTTTTTGTCTTTCTCTCCTCGCTGCCTGCAACTGTAATTCAGGTTCTTCTGACTTATTTTTTAAAGGTGTACACTCCACTACTACTCAGATTAAGTGTGCTAACCCAGGATCAGCCCTCCTCTGTTTAGCTAGTTATATTCAATGGGATATCAAAGGCAAATAATGATCCTAGATCAGAAATTTCATTTTGTGAGTGCTGATATTAAAGTAAGAGTCCTCGTTACTGATTAACCAAGAAATTACAGAAGAACAAACATGGTCTACGTTTATACTTGCTTTTCAAGGAACATATAAAACCAGAATGCAGGAAAAAAACATGTATACTAAGCATACACACACAATTTAAATAGTACACATGACTAAGTGAATGACTTAACAAACAAAGCATTCAATATGAGAAAAGTCAGTGTAAAAGATGTATGGTTAGCTGTGGACAGTAAGCTGCAACACTGAATCACCTGACTGTAATGTCACTATAGGGACATAAACAACACTCAGTAAAATCCAAAGTTACACAGTCCCATGAACCACAAGTATATTTACCACAGAAGAACAGAACTGTATCATTCTATACTATAACCCTCATAACCTGTCAGTTCAGGAATAAGTTGATCGTATATCATTCCAGACATTTCAACAGTTAAATAGGTGTCTCAGCAAAGGAGCAAATAGAGCATGTGCACTCACACTTTTATTTAAGGGGAGAAAAACATGCTTGTTTGCTAGTTCTACTTTTTATCTCAAAACAATAACTTATTTTCAAAATAATGTCAAAATAATGATTCTTTTTTTAGAATTTTGAACATTTATGTAAAAATAATAATGTATTATTATCTTGAGATTTCAACAGATTATGTCAAAATAATTATTATTTTCTGGAGATTTTGACAATTATGCTAAAATAAATGCTAATTTTCTAAAGAATTTGACAATCACGTTGAAATAATTACTTATTCTGCTTTATGTTGTTGAAAGTTTGCTGTAGTATGTCAAATAAAACTATGTAATAATGCAAGTAAGTATTTTACGATAATACATACGATATGGTAATACTACGATGTAAGTCCCTGTCTCTCCAACTGGTAACCAGCTATAACAAAAGAACAGTTAGTTACGTCATATTCAAATAGCATACTAGATAGTAGTAGAAGTAGCCCATATTAGCTAAAAGCAAGCCAACTATCTCTCCCCAAACACACCAGAAAAAGTGCTCCTCTACTTAAAAATAAGCTCCTCTACCTCCAAATAAGAAACCCATGAACAGTTACAACTACTTCAGCACTTGTGACACTGTAGAGTGGTTATATTGATAGATGTGTCCCAACAGTGTGAAAGGAGTCTGCAAGGGGTCAATGGTCTACACATTAATGTGCCAAATTCTTTTCAGTATTTCTCACGCTGAGACATTTTCTCCAGGTGCTCACGTTCTAATAAAGACAGATACCACTTCCATTGTGTCTTACAGAAAACAGAATCAGCGCTCCCCGATATCATTTAAGGCAGTGGGGTGCTGACAGGAAGCCATTATCTTTAAGAGCAGTGCATATACGCTGCTGTGTGAACAGAGAAGAGAAAATGCTCTCTATGGGAAATCCCTCGCATCTGAATGGCATCTCCACCTTCATGTGTCAAGCATTAAGGGGGTGTTTCGCAAAGCAAACATGGATTTGTTTGAGTGGCAAGAAACGACTCATTGCCATCTTTGGTAAGATCAATGCACCCCTGAGGCTTAATGCCCGTGGTGTCCTCACACAAGACACAAGGTAATTCTGACTGCTGCCCTCAGGCAAAATCTCTGCCCTCACGAGACGGTATCTGGTGACCTGAAGTCTTCTGTTGCGCAGAGATTTGTTCTCAGGTGAGCAACACAATTTCTTATACACAGTCAGTGATTTTGTGTCTTTTTGCATGGTACCAGAACAGAGTCAGCTGTCTCCGTTAGGTCTTCCGATGGTGTATATAGACTTCTAAAGCTGTGTCATCATTCTATTGTCATCATCACGCCCATAGTAGGAACTTGGTCTAAGCTGGTTTTCTTAATGGCAGAAGTGAATAGTGTATTGGAACACTGATTAGTGTCGCATCCTGTGGTATGCTAAAATGTTCCAAAGCAAATGCGTACAGAAATTTTACCTTTGAATATTGCTGAATCCTCAGAATAATGAGGTCAGTATGAAGTCCAAATATGACTACTGCTATATGCAAGCGAACACAGCTATGAACTGAACTGACATCCTAAGACTAGCAACTTCAACAAAATACCCCACGCAAACCAGCATGCGTCATGGTAGTTTTAGGCTTTGGAGGTTTTACGCTGCAGTTTAAATAGTTTAGTAAACCACACAAAAAGTTTAATATTATGTAGCATTATTTGTATTTCAACTGGTAAAAAAACTTGTAATTGAGAGAATCCAGTGACACCCTTAGGGAAAACAAAAAGTATTGGCTTTGCAGCATTTTAGTTTACCACAGGGTGTGATGACAACGATTTTCAGAAAACACTACTAATTTCCATTATAGAGAAAAACAGCTTAGACCCAGAGATCCTAACATGGGCATGATGCTGACTATAGAATAATGCCCAACTTCATAGGTCTAGTGAAAGTACACAGACCACTAAGGCACTTCCTAGTGCAGCAGTACTGTTGTAAGTGGCAAATTTGAGCTCTGGTGTTTCTTACAATAGTCATGACCCTATTGTTTGTCCAAATTCAGTGGAACTGCTACTGTACCAAGGGTATCCATCTCTGCGTGCCACATACCTACCACTTACCAGTTGCTAGTCTCCCAAAACCAGACATCACCTCAGGTCACCATGTTATGAAACCAGATTAACATTTTGTCATTGGGATATTAAATGCTTACCCACAGTACCAAGTCAGATCTCTCTAAATCACTATCTCTGAGAAATAGTGCAGCCTAAATACATTCAAAATTGCCATCCATCAGTACTGTACCACTGTCAGAACGCATATAACACACTCGTAAACCATTCAAAAAATATATAAGGCTTATGAATCTTACCTCTACCCTGCTGCTGTTCTCAGTAAGTGAGCCATCTTTCTCAGGGTCTTGCTTTCTCTTAATAGGTGTATCACTGATTGCAACAGTTGCCAGGGATAGCTCTTCCTCTCTATTACCATCACCCTCACTTTCTCTGTCCCTCTCTATCTGTGCATTTTGTACATAGAATGTCAGGCACCTCTGCAGGCAGTATCAGTTGGCTAAGGACAACTGATATAGAGGAAATTTTTTTTAAGAACAGATGCATAATAAAGCACAATGGCGATATATAATATGGGTAAAATGTAGCGCTAAGAAAAATCACTGAAACGCTTTAAAAGTGATGGGCTTATTTCAGAAAGTTTTCCTGCTTTGTCATTAGTTTATATGCATCTATAACTCTCACCTTCTGATCTTTCCTGTTCTTAGCAGGTGTGCTGTCCTGTGTCAATGAGATTTCTCCCTCACTCTCTGTGGGTGTGCTCTGCAACCACATGCGTGCACAACTCATGTTACAACAACTCTTGCCTCTGGCATTTCTAACTCTCGAAACCGTTGTGATGTTTGTTGCAGTGGGAGTCATTTCCTCACCTCTCGGTCTCTGAATCGAATGAGCAGGCTGCAGAGGTGCTGCTGCTCTGTCTCTCTGAGAGCGATGCAGAAACTTTCGAAGGCTCGGGGGCCACGTTTAGGCAACAGCGACAGCAAACGCCAGCTTCGCTTATGGGACGTTGGCTCTGCCTGCAGAATTCAAGTCATGAAAAGGTCAAACACTATTACTACAGTGCACATATACATATACATATATATATATATATATATATATATATATATATATATATATATATATATATATATATATATATATTCCATTACAATACATATGTACACATACATATCAAATGAGATATTATTCTGAAAAGCCAACTGTAGGTAAATAATAAACCTTAACTCCAGTTCCAAATCTTTACCTAAGCCCTTTTGATGTATAATCAATGGTATTTATGAGTAAACAGTTAGAAGAGCAATTAACTGTTCCCAACACAATAACAGAATCTGCACCATTAGTGAGATGCACCTTACCAGAATGGTTTCAGCCATGCCTTCAGTCAGCACGTCATCTGCCTGCAAAAACTGGATGAGTAGCTCATCCACCACCATTTCTCTACAAAGGGCCACCGAGTTCTTCTTCAGTGCCAGCTTATCTCGCTCTTTCATGCCACACTCTCCAAGCATGGTGCTGCTGTGGAGGTTTGTACATGTTGTGTGTGTTTGTGTGTGTCGGGGGGGGGAAGAGTAGAACTCTGTGAGACTACAATGCATCACAATTAAAGGCAGTTTAAAGGGGATTTCTAACACATTTTCAAAATTTCTGCATAAATCTACTGTAACAATGCAAAGAAAGTCATTGATGTTGTGAGTGAGTGGTTTGATGTTAAATCCTTCGTTCTAGAGAAACTTACCAAGACAATTGTTTACAGCGATGGCGGGAGAAACCAAACGTCCAAAGCATTTAATGCCGCTAAAAGCTACTGCATGGAAAATAGTATATGAGATGCTTATGAACCTGCTGGCCGATGTCTGATAGGTTACATTGTTCAGTGAACGTTCTGAATTAAGGTTATCGCCTAAATAACATTTTTAAAATCCATTCATTATAGGGGGGTACATGCAGGGTGTTGAAAGCCAAAACAGAACCCCAGTTCTGCCAGTTCTATCACCACCAATGTAAAGAAGGAAGTCATTAAGTTTCTCTTCAGTTAGTCTTCTTACATCAAACCGCTCTGTATGACTTTGTTTACATCTCCAGGTTTGAATTTTGCAGAAATTTAGAAAAATAATGAAATGTCCCTTCAATAACATCTTTAATTCCTTAATTAACCAATTTCATTTAAATTTTACAAGCAGGAAGTTCAATGCTGCTAATTGCAGCAAGTAACGTAAAAACAAACTCACATTGCTTACTGTTAAAAGTGTATCGTAGTATTAACAGCTGGGTGCCTTTACTATTTGTAGTAACGTTACATTTCAATAACATTTAGCAAGAACAAGGAACAACACACATGATCCGTTAACAAGAAATTCCATCACATCCACTCAGCATTCATAAAAAAATAACATTTTATGGTTTTTCAAAACACTATAGCGTTATGTTAAAACATAGGTAGATTAGCTAGGTTAAATAACTTAAGTCATTATAGCATGTCAAGGTTATTAAAAAACGTACCGTCAGTGGTGTTTTCTCAGTATACTTCCAAAATAGCCGACTGCTTCGTGAGTTACTTCAGGAGGACGTGCTGAACAGCTCAGGAACAGAAAAGCCAACCTTCGCCAGCGGTCTAAGTAAGTTAGCTATCTAACGTTAGCTAGCTAACCAGCTAAAAACAATAAGGCTCGTCCAGCCAACTTAAAATGAACGAAGGTGGCAGCAAAAGTTGTTGCCACACTCGGCAGCAGCCTGGTGGTCTTTTGCTCTTCTGTAGTAAAGTAGCTAAGTTAGTTACCTAGCTAGCTAACTAGCCTAGCCTAGACATTTGGTACACGCTGACAGCTTTAAAGAGCATAAAGAGCAGACAGCTAAACTAGTCGAGCTAACCAGGCTAAAAAAGACAACAACAACACAATGCATTCCGGTACGAGTCACTCAGTCCTGTGTGGAGTTTCGTGAATGAAGATAATTGACACAGCATCAACAACGAACATTTGTTATCCAGGGTTAACGGAGAAAAGAGAGAATTTAAAAAATAATTGACAGTGCAGGGGCTCTCCTGAAGGAACTTCCGCGCCAACCGACAGCGAATGAGAGGCAGCGGCTGCTTCTTCTCCAGGATGTGGATGGAGGCTGAACGGCACGGAGTAGAGTTACTGCCGCGCTGTGGTCTAATACAGCCCTGACTGTCAGTGGGGTCTCGGCTTACTAGACTGTCTCCAAGGTGGGCAACGGACCAGGCGCTAGTACCGACACAAAGGGCAGCTCCGCTAGTTACCTAGCTGGCTAACTAGCCTAGATATTGGTACACGCTGACAGCTTTAAAGAGCATCTGTATTGTCCTGGGTGTTTTTTGTCAGTGTGGCTTGCACATTTTGTAAATTACTCTGTCCTGATTTCTTCGTTACGCCTCAGAAGTGTTTTCTACGGAGGAATCCCATATGAATAAAAATAATGTGTGGCCATAAGCTCGGTAAAGTTAGGTTGACATTGGATATTCGCCTTTCGCCCCTCCTTTTGCTCACAAACAACCTCTTAAAAATTCTGAAATAACATTTTCTAAATCGTGGTAAAACAGACAAACTACAATCATTATATTTCGTCAAAGTACCCGATCTTTCCATTTCGCCGAGTACTTTTGATGAAAATAGCCGGAATCGCTGCAGTAGGCGCCGAAAACGGTAAGGGACCGTCGGTAAAGTGCGGTAAATATGATGTCACTGATTAAAAACGTAAAACATTCAAAGACATGAGGAGCCTTTTGGCGTTATTTATAAAGACTTTAAACCTAGTGAAATAGAAAGATGATGTGAAAATCAATAACTGACACTAACAAGTATACATCTGACCTGATCTGACAAACATACTGCAACCTTTAGATTGATAAAATTTGCCTTGGTTGAAATGCAGAGATTATTTTTATATGTAATTAATTGGTACTGTGAGACGTCCATAAGACATACACATCTAAAGTCACTTGTAGTGTACAGGTATCCATCTCGCAAAAATAATACAACCTTTAGTTTGATAACACATTCCCTTTTTTGATTTTTTATGACATTTAAATTCCCACTGTGTCACGTGCATATAACATACAGATCTAAAATCACTTGTAGTGTAGAGAGACATGCCTGACAAACATACTACAACCTTTAGTTTGGTAAAATATGCCTTGACTGAATTTTAATGAATTTTTTACAGAAATAAATCGCTATTGTGTCACATCCATATGACTTTCAGATCTAATATTACTTGTAGTGTACAGAGACAGACCTGACAAACATACTACAACCTTTGGTTTGGTAAAATACGCCTCGACTGAATTTTAATGAATTTTTTCTAGAAATAAATTGCCGCTGTGTCAAATCCATATGACATAGAGATATTGATAGTTGGTTTCTTTATTGATAGTTGGTGTGGCTGCTGCATTGTTTCACTGATTTTTGTTTTTAAGAGATTTTCAGAAAATTATTATTATACTAAAATTTTAAAATGTTTGAATTCAAAATTTGCTGGTACTGTTATTACACACTTTCTTCTATTTGGCTATTTATATAACATGTGGAACTTGTAAATGTTGGCTCCATGCAGACTGCTTTGGAATGATACCAGGTGCTGTTCCTGATGAGGAAACAACATGGCAATGTGAAATGTGTGAAACGGATGTGTAAAAAAAGTAGTTTAGGAAGATATATGTACTGCGAAGTAAGTATTTTTTAAAATAGAAAGATTGCAACAAATAATTTTTAATTTTTACTGTTATGTTAGTTTAGTGTTGTATAAGTTATAGTCAGCTGTTCAGCAATTCGTACCCCAGAATATATTTATTTTAATTCTGCACATCTTTCGATACACTGATGGCAGTTTGTACTTAATTTAGACTGGATACACTTTTGTCAGTTTTATTTGTTTTTTAAAGATGAATATAATTTTTTGTCACATGGACGTGCCTTAGCAACACTTCATTCATGAAATAATAAAGACAACCAGACTATTGTATGTTGTTCATGTGCGACAAACTATTTGTTCCAGAAAAAACTCATTCTGCCACAGTATGCTAATAAGGTTGTAGTTTGCTTGAGAAAGGTTTTTCAGGAAAATTCTACTGCATATATATTGAATATTCTAGTAGGACTGCAAAACATGTCAAAGTTAAAATGTATTGCCCAAAATTAAAATGCCCACGGCGCAGCTTTGCATAACATGCTCCTAAAACTCCTCATATATATATTGCATGTTTTCCAAACCAAAGGTTTATGAGATGTGCGTAAGTACACTAAAGGTGATTGTACATCTGTAGATCTGTATGTCAACAGTCATAGTCATAATTATTAGAAATTAAACAGTTAAAAATATTAAAATCTTCATATTTATATTTTTTTATAGGTTTGAGTTATTTGTTAAAACAAACCCTCTTTATTAGGGACAATCTGACTCTCATAGTTGATCAGGAAGGTGTCAGTACATCGGCAAGCAGGCACAAACTAGGCAAATTTACAATCAAAATCCAACAAAACAGAAGAATGGTTAAAACAAAAGATATTGCAGAACAAGAACATGGTTAAGAAATGCACTCAGAAAGCTGCAACACTTTGCAAGGCAAGAGACCAAAGTCTTTACATTTAAAACCATTTGCCTTGGCTGTAGCATATTTTGGCTTGTAAAAACACAATATAACATATGAATTAATACAAACAAGCATTACAGTCAGTGAAGTAAAATGTAATAAGCATTTCTTATGTTTTTAAAAGTACCTGAGATATTCTGAGCTGGTTAGAGCAGCAAAGTTTAGTTCCCAAATTCTCCTTAATGTCCTGAGCCATGACATCGATTGGTAAAAATCCAACAACTAGCACTCCTGATTTAATGAAAGACTAATTAACGAAACCGGCCAGTGGATGAAAACTACAATTATTACTTGATGTCCACAAGGGTTTAGAAACCCCAAGAGGGTTTGGAATGTTTGGAAATTTGTATTCATCCTAATATTTATGTTTTTCTTAGCATTCTTAATTGCCTAATGACCAATTAAATAGCTTTTTAAATACATTTTTCTCAAGTGCCTAAAACATTAAATCAATACTGTTTGTTTGTTATTCAGTCTTAGAAATGGGCCACAAGTGTGTGTGGTAATAAGTGAGTGGAGTCAGGGCCGGAGCGGGCCAGTCCCAAACAAGAGTACACTACATAAAGTGAGGCTCCCAAAGCCCAAAACATTGGGTGAATCTGGACCACGGGATTGGCAGTTTGGAAAGGCTTGAGGAGCTGGTCAGTGGTGGAGACTGGCTGAGCAGGACACTAGAACCCCTGGTGGAACAGAAGAGTGGAGTGACACCAAGAAGTTGACAAGCCTGAAGCTTGATCATTTCCAACCCCATTTCCAAAAACGTTGGGATGCTGTACAAAATGTAAATAAAAACAAAATGCAATGATGTGCAAATCATTTAAACTCAATATTTAATTGACAGTAGTACAAAGATACTGAGAAATTGAAAAATGTTATTGTTTTTTGAAAAGTATTTGTCCATTTTGAACATGTTTCAAAAAAGTTGGGACAGAGACAACAAAAGGCTGGTAAAGTTGTGAAAAGTTAAAAAAACAAACCTGGTGTTTGATTGGCATCAGGTCAGTAACATGATTGGGTATAAAGAGCATCTCAGAGAGGCTGAGTTTCTCAGAAGTAAAGATGAGGAGGGGTTCATCACTCTGTGAAAGACCGCACAATTGAATAGTGCAACAATTCAGGAATAATGTTTCTTGACATAAAATAGCAAAGAACTGTTGCTTTTTATCATCTACAGTACATAGTGTCATTAAAAGATAAAATAAATCTCTGTATGCAAGGGACAAGGCCAAAAAACAGTATTTGCTGGCCATGATCTTTGGGACCTCAGGCAGCACTGCATTAAAAACAGACATGATTCTGTAGTGGAAATCACTGCATGGGCTCAGAAACACCTCTGAAAACCACTGTCTGTGAAAACATTTCATCATTGCAACCACAAATGCAAGTTAAAACTCTAAAACACAAAGAAGAAACCGTATATAAACAGGACCATAAATGTTGTCACCTTCTCTGGGCCCAGTCTCATTTAAAATGGAATGAGGAGAAGTGGAAAAGTGTCCTGTGGTCCAATTAATTGAAATTTGAAATTCTTTTCCCAACTTTTTTGGGAATGGGGTGCTCAAAAATACTCAACTCTACACCTAAAAAACTACCACCCAGCAGGGTTGTAGTTCCACCACACCTGACTCTAGTATTCAGATGCTCTTAAAGACGTTGATCAAGTGTATGTTCTACAGTATGTGACATCAGGACTGGAACTATGCACAGATTGTCACAAGCAAGGTTGGGCAGCCATGTAAGATGGAAGTGATTCTCTGGTGGCCATAAAATGTAGAGGTGCTTTTTAAACCTAAAGTTATAGGTTTAAAATATATTTATATAAATTAAAAGTGATTTTAGCTCAGTATGTCAAATAGGTGAATAGGAAATTTTAAAGAAGAATAATTAAAATTGACATACACACACACATTCTCTAAGCTGTTTATCCTTCTGGGTCGCAGGGGGGGAGGGGAAGCCTATTCCCAGCAGTCATTTGGCGAAAGGCAGAAAACACCCTAGACAGGTCGCAAGTCCATTGCAGGAAATTAAAATCCAAAATCAAAGAATAAATGTAGTAAACTTTATAGTAAATGTAGTTTGTGACATGTTCACTGCAAACCAGTGTACACTAAAATTGTATCACAGTATCAATTTATTTCTATAAAAAATTCATTAAAATTCAGTCGAGGCATATTTTACCAAACTAAAGGTTGTAGTATGTTTGTCAGGCATGTCTCTCTACACTACAAGTGATTTTAGATCTGTAAGTCTTGTCAGGCATGTCTCTCTACACTACAAGTGATTTTAGATCTGTAAGTCATACGGATGTGTCACAATTGTGATTTATTTCTATAAAAAATTCATTAAAATTCAGTCGAGGCATACTTAACCAAACTAAAGGCTGTAGTATGTTTGTCAGGCAAGTCTCCACTACAAGTGATTTTAGCTCTCTAAGTCATATGGATGTGACAGAGTATCAATTTATTTCTATAAAAAATCATTAAAATTCAGTCGAGGCATATTTTACCAAAGGTTGTAGTATGTTTGTCAGGCATGTCTCAAACCAAAGCTTGTATTTTATTTGTATTATGTTGTTTAATTAAGTACAAGTTATTTTATTTTGCAGTAGGTTTGTTCAGTGTGTCTCAGTTCAATTTGTAGGTCCACTGCATATGCCTTTAGACTGTCTAATTTGCTAAAAGTGTATACTTAATGTCAGGTATTGATTTTCACATCATCACTGTATTTCAGTAGGTTTCAGGTCTTTATAAACAACACCAACAAGCTGCTCATGTATGTGGATGTTTTACGTTTTTAAGCAGTACCCGCACTTTACAGACGGTCCCTTACCGTGTTACGCGACTACAGCAGCGATTCCGGCTATTTTCATCATATCTACTTGGCGAAATGGAAAGATCGGGTACTTCGGCGAAATATAAAGATTGTAGTTTGTCGTCTGTTTTACCACGATTTAGAAAATGTTATTTCAGAAATTCTAAGAGGTTGTTTGTGAGCAATAGGAGGGGCGAAACGCGAATATCCGCTGAATATCCAATATCAACCTAACTTTACCGAGCTTGTGGACATGACTTCGTAAGTCGTGCGAATGGAATAATTAAGCCCTGACCACAGCTTTATAAGGCATTATCTCGTTCTCACGCTTTACTAAGTCGCAATATTTTTTTTATATGGGATGTCACCAGCAGGGCTCCGTAGTTTTCAGAGTGTTCAGGTGTTGAACCGCAAAGCTGAGCGGGTTTTATTCACTTAAAGTGAATTCTCCTTACCAGGAGTGGGGTTTGAACCCACGAGGACATCTGTCCATTGGATCTTAAGTCCAACGCCTTAACCACTCGGCCATCCTGGTGTAAGTAATTCCTGAAGAGGCGCCCTTTCCTGGTGCGGGGAGGTCATGGTTCACTTTGTTCCTTCATTGTTCATTGAATCCATTATTCAAACAGTGGATATTTAGTGGATAATTAATCTTCCATCAAAAAGGAATTACGTTTGCTGGCTTCTGAAACATCTCTTGACTTTTGATCACATCACTGTGCACCAGGGAGCAGGGACAATTATTTTAACCAATAATATCATTTTTAGGTAAAAACTCTCAGCTAGCTCAGAGGCCCTTCCTAATGTCATGCTTCACTCAAAAATATGCCATGGTACACAAGGAAAATGCATTATAATCTCCATTTGACTTTAATAATTTCAAAATCAACAGCTAATACAGATCTGCCTGGACCAGCTTTTCATATCATAATCTGACTGGATAAGACAGTGTTTGAAACTCCTAAAATAACAAATGTGGCTTTAAAAAACAAAACTAACAAATAAAAACCAAACTGGTAATCAGACACTTTATTCCTTATGTCATTACATTTCTTTTCGCAAGCAAAAACCAAAGCTCTATTTTCCACACAGTAAAACAGCAAAAGGAAAGAGCAAAACTAGTCAGTGCAGACAGAACCCAAGACAAAAGTTTGTATGCATCGTAAATGAGCAGACAACTCTTCCAAACTCTTGATTTTTCCATACTTCATGGCTAAGATTCGTATTAAGTGAGGTCAAAGTCTAGGCATCAGTAGTTTGTATCATCTAAGAAATGCACGCACACACACGGTCCTAAGCATTTGGTTTCTGGTTAACATAGACTAAGCACAGTTTTTGACCTCAAAGCATTTTTAGTCAGAAATTTCCATTAACTAAGAACACTTTTTTCCAGAAGTAGAACTCATATATGTCCTGGACACTACCAGTAATTAAGTACATCTATTAATTTTTGGTCACACCTCCCTTTCAAAGATCATCAAGGTTTCAAGAAGCTCCCACAAAGAGATCAGGTTCAAGTGCAAATACGATAAACTTTCACACAACTTTGGAAGTATTTTTCCCCATTAGGTAATGTTGAAACTACTAGTTTGGTTTCGAACAGAGCAGATGGTCATTTTTAGTTTATCACTTTGTACCTACATTCAGAGTACAATGAGCAGATACAAAGGTTTTCTTTAAATATTCACACCAACTGAGAAGTGAATGAATCAACAGAACTTCCCCCAACAATTGCAATCATTATACAGGCAAGTTCTCCAGTCACAGGTCAGAGCCCAGTCTTGATAATTCATACCAGAACCTTGACTAACTAGCGTTACATAGCTCAAGACTAAGTCTGATCCATTTATGAAAAAACGGCTCATTATACAATTTATATTTTCAGTACTGTTTATCACATACAGTATCCAAAGTTAAATATTTCTTCAACTTTATAGCCAAAGTACCTATGATTCCTCAGCATACACAGATTCACACTCTCTTCCTCTCATTCTTACAAAAACATTCATAGTAACAGTCACTGATACTATATAATACCATACTTTAAACTATGGTGTAACAGGTTGAATGAACACCAAGCTTCTGTGCTTCTGTGTAGTCTTTCCATTCTTATGGTCACACTAACTGAATGCTGAAGTAATCATTAGCTAAAACTGTCTTTGTATTATCTTGGCAGGAAAACAGAAAAAGTAGAGTACCTGAGGTACTCTCTAAAGAGACAACGAGGAAAACTTAGAGGGCAGTAGTTGGAACCAATTAATTCATTATAAATATGAAATGTACTAATTATTTTAATTAAACCACATAATACATTAATAAACATACAGCTTGTAGGTTTCTTTGGAGCTAAACTGAACTGAACAGAAATAATTTTAAACTTTGTCCAAAATAAATGAAAAGTGCAATCACTTCCACTGCAAAGTTATCTTTTCTGCTATAAGAAACATGAAAACTAATGTGCTGGGATGTCAAATTGAGTTTTAAATGATATAGCGATATAAAGAGCAGTATATGGGAATGCATAAAGATAAGTGCTTTTGGTTTGTTCTGAAACATACAGAACCTCACCCACACCTAGTCCCTAGGCTAAAACGACCCGACTGGACCAAATTTTCAAGGTCACATTGGAAGTAAGTGGTCATCCCTTTCCTCTGGCTCTTCTAATGGCTCAGTAGCAACACCCCTGTAAGTAGGGGGTTCCTCTCTGCTGCCACGGGAACGGCACACAAAGTCACATCCATCCTGTAAAAGTACAGAGGATCACTTAATATTTAAAGCATTTTAATCACAAGAGTGTGAACAGATGAAAGAAAGAGAGAGGCTTACAGCTGACAAGTTGCCTATCTCTGACCAAAAGGCGTAGTTTGGAAATTGCTCAACTCCTTTTGCTCCAACCACAAGTCGTTGATAGAGAAATCCACCAATAAGGTATACAGCCAAGCAGGAGAAGCCACTACAAACAGCCATAAAATCAAATTAATGAAAGCAGTAAACATCATGTTCTGCCTTAAAATACACCATTGGGAATAAAAACAACAGAAACAAGCATTAATATAATTTTCTAACATAATAGAGATATCATAATAATCTAACATAATAGAGATATCATAACTCTGAGATATCATAACTGGGCACGCCTGGAGATTCAGACTGATAAGAAAACTTATTCATTACTGCTTTTGATTTTACACAATATAACTGTCAGTTGCTTGCACGTGAATAAAATGTATTACATCAACACAGTTCATATGAAAAGAAGAAAAAGTGATGTTATAAATATACATTTTCTTTGTATGCAAACAACTGACGCACTTACAGAGGAATTCCATCCATTTGTTATATTTTTGGCACAAAACTGTTTACAGTGGTGGTGATAGGAACCAGAAGTCCAACTCTGGAATGAGTGTTTCATTCCATAATACTATTCAAAAAATTAAAGCTTTAACTTTTAAAAAAGTAAGTACTTGTTGCCTTTGCATTTTTAGTTTATTAACTAAACTAAAATTAACTTATTACATACTAAAACTCAGAAATTCAGTAACTACAGGGACTTCATTGCAAAGTGGTAGAACAATTCTTAGGTTACAGAAGTGTGTAATAAAACTTTGGGTCTGCCAAACTTGGACTCTGACTCTGGACATTTTAAGGATTTTAGGTTAAACTTCATAAGTAAACAAAAAACTCTTACTTAAATTTTAACTTAAATTTTTAAGGCAGCCAGGTCAGGTGCCTCATTTTAAACATTGTTTTATGATGGTTTTGAAAAGATTTTGGCCTAAAACCTTTCTGGCTACTAGCTGCATCACTTTCACAGCAATTTACTAACCCATATTAACAGTAAGTAACAGTAAAATAACAGCTGTATAAATTATAAAGAAATTGTTAAAAATTGCTGGAATTGCCCTTTTAATATTTCTCTACACTTTCAGACATAAAGGTACTAAACTGTCACTGGGACAGTAGCCCTCTTGTCACTGGGGTGAAACCCTCAAGGGTACATCTCAGTACCTTTAGTCAGGGAACATAACTGTATTATAATTTATTGAAATTATTGAAAGTTGTAACATAACAATGTTTAATATAATTTTAATGTAAATGAAACTTTCAATTAAAAATATTTGTAAGATACACAAATCAATATTTTCTGGATGCAAAATTGTTGATTCATTGTTCGTAATTGGTTGAAATATTGTAAAAAATTATACTGTACTTTCTTTGCAAACAATTTTTGCACTGCTTTACAAGGTTTGTATTTTTTCTGTCCCTCTTCAGATGTACATGTTTATGTTGACAGCTTATACACATAAAAAAGGAAGCATGCGATCATACTCTGTGGTGACACAGTGAGGGTTACAATTTAAACAACAGACTATTTTTAGAACTCACATAATAAGAAGTATGGACCCAGTGCTGAGTTTTGGTTGGGCAACAGAGCATAGCACACTGGAGTCCAGCTCAAACAGATAAAAACAGTCTAGGTTCTTTTCTCTCTCCTCCTGAACCATTGAAAGTTCTCCCTAAAGAAGGTGGAAAGACATGTAGAGTGAGCAAGAGGTGCACAAATGAGAAAGATAATGCTGAACAATTAATTATTAGAATTAGTTTCAGAGGCAATGGATTGTCAGTACAGAGACATACAGTTTTACAACTGACAGTGACAGCTGTTGCTACTACATTTAGTGGTACACAGAAGTTTAAACACCCCAGGTCAAATTACTTGTTTGTTTCACTTTCTAAGTGAAATTTAAGTTACTACATTCTCTATAGGGAACAAACCTAAATATGTCATTTTTCTCCATATTTTAGTGCACAATTTCTATTTTTTTATTCTTTACCTTTTTTTATATATATATATATATATATATATATATATATATTTTTTTTAATATGTTAAATACAGCAAATCAACAGTAATTCAAAATATCAGAAGTCTGTTCTCTGTGCAAGATGCGTTTCACCAGAAAATAATAAAAAATAAAAAAAGTAATTTGTGCCCAAACAAATTTTGCATACAACTGTCTTTTTTGTCATGAAAAAGCATGCTATAACAACCAATATTAATAAAGCACACAAAAAATCCTAAACTCCATGATGCAGGGTAGGTGTTTAATAGCCCAACAATGTGTCAAAAAGCAGATTTTCATATGGCCAACTCCTGTAATGCTTTTAGCTCTAACATAGAATTAACACAACTGGGGGTGAGTACTACAATCAGTGGAATGTGTCTCACTTCACTTTATCCTTTTTCAACAGGCTATATCTTTAAGACTGGCACGTGAACGCTGTTCTGATTTGGTGCCCTCTATTCAGGGTGAAATGAATGGAACAGACTGTTAAGTTTGGACCAATATCTTCAGGGACATATTCTCAAAATACAACACCAGATGCAGGATCAGATTTGCTTGTGCTCTTGAAACAACAGTGCTAAACAGAGATGCTTATGAAAGCTGCTGTGATATTTTCTTCCCGACAGCCCAGACTCGCACAACATTTAAATGTTTTTACCACATCTTCTTCTCCAACAACTACAGGCTGTAGTTACAGAGTGTCTGCAGTAACTCTCCTTATCATGTCAGAGTGAATGAGTGGCTAAACTGCTACAGGCTGAACAGGTGGTCATCTGTAAATGTGTTCATAGCGGTGTTTGCAGTCAAGCTGATATGGATTGAGGCTCCTAGTACTTTTTCAGTGGTCACAATGTATATCAAACTTTGTTTAACAACAATATTTACTTCATCTAAAAAATAAAAGTTAACAAAAGATCAAAAAAAATTAAACTAATAGTTTTCATTTCTGTGTGTAGGCAGCAGTTGCACCATGTTAATTGTGCTTACTTGTTTACTCTTCTTGTTAGCAACATTAGCTTTGCATTAAGTGCAAAATTACTGATCTGAATTCTGATTAAAAATCTGCCTTGGTTTCTCAGCCACACTTCTGAGAAACCTCTAACTGAAGTATTCCACTAAACAAACAAAATCAGACCAAGATCTCACCACAGCCACAGATCTGTTACAGGAAACCATGATGATGGCTTTCCTCTCCTCTTTTGAGCAATGGGTATCATATTTTTCCCCACCCCTGTATATCAGCATCACCCAGTCACCTGTAAAGAAAGGCAGAAAAGGTGGCTGGGGACTTGGAGATACCTCTCTTGTGGAAATACAAGTATAATTGTATGCAACATATGGGAGAACATTTTGTTATGGCTGTGCTTTGACTTCAGTGAAAACATGATTAACAACATGGCTGTAAGTGAATTATCTATTATTGTCATCATATCTTCATCAGCATAATGTTGATATTGCATTTGAGACCATAACATTGAGCCAAACTTTCCTTATTAGCCTGCACATGTAAAGTTAATAGGTAAAGATATATGACATGGTCCAGAAAACTCCCAGGAAATCCAACCCAAGGCCTCTGACTTTTAAATGATTCTTTCAGGCTTTAGAGGGTTACAACACATAGACACTATATTTTAGTACGTTCTTTGAGTTACTTCATAAAATGTTTAACAAAATGATGCTTATTCAAAAAAGCACTTTTAGCACAACATCAAATAATGGTAGACTCTGTGTGAAGAAAGCCTGGAGAAGAATTCTAATCAGACTGCCTTAAGGGTACTGTAAAGTCTGGGGCTGTTTTACAATGATGTCAGTGTGCTGGTGTCCATTGATGGGTTCCTGAACTCAGAGGTGTGCAAAGGCATTTTGCATGCAAGCTTGCTAAAGTCTGCAAAGAAACTGCTCAAATGATAATGATCTGATACATACAAGCTGCATTTTGAAGTATAACTGGTCAAAAAGAAAATTACAATCTTGGGAAGCTCTATTTAAAATACTTGGCAATGCCTGAAATCCCTGGGTTTGGATTTTGGTCACACTGATACTCACTTCCTGCAGTGGCTTGTGTGTCAGTGTAGCTCCCAATGCGGACTATTTTTCCATCCTTGTCCTTCTGTATGATTCCTGCATCTTTCACTCCATCTGCATCATCACAAATCTGCAACACGTATGTGTAGCTGTCGTTTCCAGCAGTTTTTTGTGTTTTAAAACTGTTGGAATCAGGAAAAGGGCACCCAAGCTTAAAGATAAATTAGTGAAACTCAAGAATCAAAAAAAATGATGGGGAAATATTTACCTTGTATTGGTCAGGGGTTCTAGGAGCCTAAGGGCTTTTTTCTCCCGTTCGTTGTTAACAGATAGCTTGCACTTGCTGGTGCTTCCACCTGCTTGCACTCCACCAGCCAATAAGATCAGAAAAATGACTGCTCTCGAAGATAACATGGCCATCAGTAAACCCTGCACACAAAGACTGTGGTTAGACACTTTTTACGTACTTACTGTCTACTGTGAATCTAACAGCCTTTCTGAAGGGTTTAGCCAGACAGTCACGAGATTTTGCCATCTTTGATAAGGAAGTCCACAAACAGCAGTTTTAAACCATTTAGAAAACTCTGGATATGCTCAACGAGTATACCTGCACGTAACATGATGGGATTAGCTACCAACACATTAGCCAACTAAGTATAATGATATAACTGAGTATAATGTTCATTTCGTTTTTACAGCCACTCAGCTTGTCAGAGCTGTCAAAAGGACAAGCACTAGTTAGCACACTCATTAGAGTCGATTAAAGATTATAATCAGAAAAAAGCAAACCTCTCAGAGTCTTCTGAGCAGTGTAGGTTAGCTATCTGAGGAAGTCCTGCAGAGACAATATAAAAGTAACAGCCAGCCGGTCAGATGAGTTAAAGTGCAGCTTCCTGATGATCTCCTAACTAGCTGACTCGCTAACTCAGCTACCAGACACAGGCCCGAATATCCATGAGTAAAAAATAAAGGTTAGGCTACAGGAGATGATTTACAGACAGCACGAATGGAGTCGGACAGACGGCGCTCCAGAGAAAGAAGAGTCTCATGATCCAGTTTATCAAACCATAAAGACGGAAGCGAAACTAAACGAGTAACGTTAGAGCACGTGACGTCCGGTAACACACGGAACTCAGAGCGGTGATGGGAGATTGAGTTTATCACTGATCACAGTTGTTTTTCACATTCTTTCTGCTTTCAATGAGGCTCATTTACTTCTTACCACAGTTACCACATGTTGTTGTTATTAAAAGAGCTTATCTTTCTAAATAATCCCAGATGTTTACTAAAAAGCAAAATGGGGATCGAGTCCTTCCAGTATCGAATTTCCATTTGCTTGCTTTTCTCTCGCATAGCTTGGTTAATCTTATTGTTTCAGAGAAAAGTACATTATACATTGAGTAAAACTTTTAATGCATGATTAACGAGGGGTACTTCCTAACCACGTGTGTGGGTCAAGAAACCTCTTTTAAAGATTTTCTCTTTTTTGCAATAAAAACAAAACTTTAAAAAAAATTGTTCTAGTTTCTTTCCCCTACCTGTGTGCACCGTCATCCTGTACAAGCCTAACAAGCTCATACACATAGATTTATAGTAAACAGGGATTTCCCTCCATTTTCATCTGCATGGTTGAGTATAAAGCAAGAATACTAATTTGGACAGTCAGTGCTTTCATAAATTAATTTCCCATGTAGTTCATCATAAAGCAGATTTCCTTTAGGCAGCAGGCATATGGCAACAGCACTACTCATTCAACAAGTATATTCAGAGGAATTTCTTTGTGCATTGTGTGCACAGATCAGTCCTTTCTGTGAGTTTTCTGACTGATTGATAAATCTGTCCATTTCTGTTGAGTGTGCTGAGACTGCGTATTGAATCATTGACTATTAATCACCAAACTACTAATTCTAATCCCAGTATTGCTCAAAATAATCACACTAGTCACCTGTATAGTTTTAAGCTTGAGACAAAGTTCACCATAGGCCTACATGTTGAGAAAGATCAGCCACTTAAATAGGGTAAAGCGTCACCAGTGAGACTGAACACACTGGGATATAAAAGAACCCCTGAAACCTGCTTATCGAACCTTGCTTTACATTGGCCAGATCCAGCGTCCAACAACCTATAAAAACACAGAGCTTCAAAGGTGTCAAAGTATGTGTCCCATCAACACCCCCTTAAAAAATTTAAATGCAGTTGCTGATGAGTCACACCCATCTCTGTAACCTGCCTGTCACCTTTAATGTGCCATTACAGCTTGTGAATCAAAAGGAAGACATTTAAACAGGCCTAGCTGATTACTTCTCTCTGGTTTTACTGTAATTGGGGGGCACAAAGTAACTTTTTCAGTAGAAAGATTTACTTATCATTATGTAAGCCCTGTTCAAGAAGCCGTATTGACCTGAAGTTCATAGGTTATCTGTTGACAAAGTTTGTCTAGCTTTAAAAAGCAGAAAGGGAATGCAGGAATACCTTTTGTAACATCCTATATTTTCTTATTCTGTTCTTGTTTCCGAAATCCTGTTTTGCAAAACTGTTGTGCAGTTTAATCTTTGGAATCTTTTGGCAAAGGGTTGTGCCTATATATAGGCCTGCAGTGTTGTTTATGTACACTGCAGTATTTATTCTTTTGCAACCTATTTGTTTTTTCTCCTGTTATCGTAGACATTCTTCACCTTCTTTGCCTCCACTTACTCTTATGCTCCCCTCCCCCCTTCTTCTTCTCTCTCAGACTCCTTCCACCCTGTTTGTACCTGCCTGTGTGTACGGACACACCCGACACCTCTGATCTCTCCAATCACAGTGCAGCAGAGAAACACTCAGAAGGTGCACTTCCTATTTCGGTATGGGAGAGGAGCCCGTAGCCGGGGTAGAGGTGAAGAGGCCTGGACAACTAGAACAAATAATTGGGCGGCTGTTCTAATCGCTTTGGAACTTACTTGAGAGTGGAGGAGAAAGCAAAGGTGTTCCTGAAAAAGCTGGCTTGAGCAAAGATGTGTGTTCCTTTCTTCATTACGCCAGAGTGGGAGCGAAAGTGAGAAGAACGAGGGAGGATCTGTATAACTCTGTTCAGACTTGTTTGGGAATTTGAGAAGAGAGGGAGGAGGGGAAGAATCTTTGTCAGAGTGAAACGCAGTGGAGAACCTCCGGCAGTTGTTGTAAACATTTGGACTTTATGTCTTAGAAGAACAGACTGGCTTTAGAAGAAGGTGATTGAATCACCATTATCAGTCAAGCATTTATCTCACTCCCAACACTGATTTACTCAGTGAGCACGCGCAGGTATGTGGAGTGTTTGCATGTTGTGTAATCCTTGCTAGCTTCTCAGCAGGACAGGAGGAGTGGGACAGGGAGAACACAGTCTCTCCAAGACAGTTCTCAGGTGAGTCCTCTAGGGAATATCCTTAACAGTCTTCTTTTTGGATACTATAAACTGCCCACATTTTGGTTGACTCACACAGTCAACAGTTTGAGTTAGTAATGCTAAAGGCATCTCTTGATTTCATCTATGGTTCTCTCATTGCTCTTGTTTAGTCAGCTGTGTTAAAGTTTCTGCTTTCTTTTCTATTTCTGATTTATCCAGTAATTGTTTTTCATGTTTTATAGAGTAGACTAATTGGGTATAAAAGCGTTGTATATTTATCTATATAGATAAGGTTATTTAAAAGACACAAAAGAATATTGAAGTTAAAGATTTTTTCTGGCTGTAACTTGAACTGCATTCTTTGCCAAGTGATAGCATCACACTGCTTTAGGAGAGATTGTTCTTGTGGTTTCAATTGAATGCTGTACTGATGTTCTCATGATTGTATAATTTGCATGATTGTATAAAAAGCTAAACCTGATTAGGAGATATGCTGCATGCAGTGCAGCCTTCAAAGTACCCACATTCTATATTTTTGTTGTATGTTATTTTTCCCTGAAGACCACTGATAATATTTGTGTGGTTTTATGTACCAAATCAGTCATAATTACACAATTTTACATGACCACTTTCCAACTTAATTTCTTGGAATTAAACAGACTGTTTTTGTTACTGTGCTTTTATGACTAATTTCTATAAACAAGTTCTGTTCTGATTGGCTGCCCTCTATTGGGCCTCAAAGTGTAGTCAATGGCTAAAACACTCCTTATTACTTAAGTGTCATTTGGCGGGGCTCAACTGCTACAGGCTGAATAGAAGGATATATTATATATGTTGGGTTTTTTTGACATGACAAGAAAAATGAATTGAAAACAGGCTGTTTTTTCAATTTAGTGTCCATATATGTACCATATGGACTGGGGAGAGAATGGTATGTTGTTAAACTTTAACAGTGTTTACATACTAAACTCTTTTATTTAAAAAAAGTGAGGGAATTCATTTATCCATGGACCCTTTAAATGTTGAGTGCTGTTAGTTGTTCTCTTGAGTTAAATTTAAGCATTGCATTGAAAATGAACACTGGTAAATTAGCCCAGAAATTTGTATTAAGTTTTATTAAGAGAAAAAGGTTAGGATATGTTTTATTCCTTACATTTCCTCACAAACTTTAACATTTGATGTATATGCTTTTATTATTTGCCGTATTGTATTATTTCCTGTGCGTGCCCGATTAGGAACTGCTAATCAGGCTCAAGGTTTACCTCTACCAACAAGCATGATGTGAATGTCAGTAAATCATAAACATATTCATCCCTGGCAGGTTGTCAAAATTATGTTGCCATGGGAACCAAACGTGCAAATTGGACCATCGAAGACCCTTCACGACTGTCACCCAGCCCAGCTACTCCTGACAGGAGCTATCAGTCAAACGAGTGGATAAGTCGCGAAGCAAGACCTCAAGCTGGTACGAAAACCCGAGCCGAACGAGACAGGGAAGGGGAAGTACGGAGAGCTAGAGAGATGGACAGAATGTTGGAAAAAGCAAGAGGGGGAAGGAGGGAGGAGGAGCAAGAATTGAGAGACAGGGAGAGGTTAACTGCATTTAAAGCTAGGGCAGGAGAAACAGAATGGAGAGAATGGGACAGGAAGAGAGATGAAGGCAGACATCCAAATGGAAGAATTGCTTCAGTTCAGGAGTATAGTGATCACAGAGAAAGAGAAAGAGAGAAAGGAGACACTTTTCCCAGGACTAGGAGGCGAAGTAATGAAAGGGAAAGAAGAACCAGAGTCTCAGTTGACCAGGGTAATGAAAGACTGATGGAGAGAGATATGGGAAGACCGAAGAAATTAGACAAAAGTGAAAGTGAAAGAGAGAGAGAGAGAGAAAGAGCCAAGAAGAGGGACAGAGACATGCAGAGGCACAGAGAGACAGAGAGGCAAAGAGAGTATGAGAGAGCTAGAATAAGGGAAGAAAGTAAAAGGGATGGTGGAAGAAGACTAGAGAAGGAGGACTCAGACAGAAAGAGGGATAGAGGGTGGGACCTCGGGAGGAGGGAGAGAAGGGGAGAGAGAAACGCAGAGGTCAATGACCAACAGATCATGAGGGCGAGAGAGGTAGACAGAGAACTAGAGAGAGACAGGCCAGGATATAGAGACAGAGAAGAGTGGCTTTATTCCCTGCAAAGAGACAGAATCATGAAGGGAGAAAGTGGGAACTTTTCAGACCGAGAGGAGAGGGCCGAGAGGAACAGGGGATGGAGGAGGGAGAGACACAGACACACAAAGAGCGAGGGAGACAGTGATGGAGAGAAAGAGAGAGAAGTAAGAAGGAAAGAGACCTCAGAGCATCTCAGATATGACCAAAGTAAGAGCAAGAGAGACATTGAAAGAGAGAGGACCAGAGAAAGATGGATAGCCAGAGAGAGGTGCAGAGAGATGGAGTGGCAAAGAGAAAGAGACAGGTATGTAGGTAGGGAAAGAGAAACAGATATGGTGGGAAATAGAGATAGAGAAAGGGATAAAGAATGGGTGATGGAGCGACACAGAGAGAGAGACATGAGAGACAAAGATCGGGTGAGAGAAGAGAGAGGACCTGAAAGACAGAGGGATGGAATGAGAGACACTCAGGATAGGAGAAAAGAGAAAGAACCAAATGAAAGAGCAGGGAGAGACCGGGAGAGATATACGCATGCACGTCCTTATGCTTCTGAGAGAGAGATGGATG